ACAAGGCAACACATCTCAAACTTCAAGGCCAGAATACAATCATCATTACCATTACGAACTCATTCTATCTAACACTATTTCTTAAAAAAAAATTCTCCAAGTGTCCTAATCCCTCCCCCCACCCCCGTTTCCCTAACAAACAGGCTTTTCATATCACCACAAAACGGACTTGACTTCCCCCCACCCTTGTCTCGTGACTCGGCGGCTGCATCGACGGTCTGTCGATGAAGTCACTCCCTCCTAACTTCTCCTTCCTTCGGATGTCCTCGTAGATGTGGCCTCGTCTGTAAAACGTCTTCTGGAATCTCCAACCTGGACGGGATCTCCGCGAGCTTCGGTGTCTGGGAGGAAAAGGGGTTTGGTGAGAATGTGTTGTCTTCATTATTATTATTTTTATTATTTTATGGCTTCTTGTTGTTTCGTACGAATCTTAGCACTGGTGGTGGAGATGGTGATGATTGGTGAAGATTGATGAGGGAGGTTATGATGATGGAAATGGTGATGATGACTGTCATAGCAATGATAATACTGTTAGTACATAGTTATTTAGGTCTTATCCCTGTTTCTTAAGAAGCTGTGGCCGTGTGGTTAAAGTTTCTACTCTGATCGTATTTCCTGAGGATAATCTTATTTTGGAATACCTTACTTTTAAAAGTTATTTAGTTAAGAAAATCTACATACACAGGAAAATTAAAAGATACTAACGGGGGTCTGAGCGGTCCAATGCCCCATTCTGCATATTTTTCCGGCGACCTTCTAGGCGCCCTTTCTTGAGCAGTGTCTTCGTCTTCGGTTATCTCTAAGTCTAACGTTTCCTCTGTTTTGTGTTCGTTTTCATTCGCTTCCTCCGTGTCGGCTTTTTCGCCTGCCTCTTCTTCGTCTTCGCTCGCCTCTGCGTTTGCTTTCTCGTCTTCACTACCTTCTGCGACTCCTTCCTCATCTCCTGCTTCGTCTTCATATTCTTCCTTCTCTAAAATGTCATCTGTGTTTTTCATCTCTCCCTTTCCTACGTTTTCCACCTCGATTTTACTCTTACTTCTATCTTCCTGGTCTTTCTCCGCTTCCGTCCAAGTCGGAAGCTCCTCAGGATTTAGAGACGAAACAGTGCTTGTGGCATCCAACTGCATTTCCTGCTCTCTCTCCCCGTTTTCGTCCACATCATCGAACGGAAGGATTGCATTGCTTTCGGGTTCCTCTTCGGCCTCTTCTTGCTGATCTTCTAACTGATGGGGCTCTCTCTTTGGGATATGGTGATGGTGACCTGATTTCACGGTTGACAAAACTTGGTTCTCGGTTATGTCGCTTCGTCCGGAGGCCTTGCTCTGTTCGTGCAGGCCAGGAGAGCCCGTGACGATGACATTGGGACGAGCGGTGGCGATGGTGGCATTCTTCTTGTGGAAACCAGGGGCCTTTTTGTTCCTGCGAGACTTACCGTATCTGGGATTCCCGGTTTTCCCTGTGCGCTTGAGGAAATGCTTACCTTTTCGACGAAGGTGGGGTTTAGAAGTATTGTTTAGCTTTAAGGTGTTTGGTTTGTTTCGGCGAGGCCCGTGTCTATCCTTGGCATGCTTCTTGGCGTTAGAGTGAAGTCTTCTGCTTCCATCCACTTCCAATGGGCGGTCATCTTCCTCGGGTTCTGAATTATCCTGACCTTCGGTGATGGTTTCGTCTTCCTCCTCCTTCCTGGAACTCTCCTTGTTTTTGCTATTGGAGGTGTCTTGGTCGTCATCTTGGTCATCTAAGCCATCTTGAATATTAGAGTCTTCGCCATCTTGATTGCGATGATGTGGGACGCGCAGCCCTCCCTCACCTGGACGAGCTACAGAATCATCCTTTCCATGGCGTTTGTCTCCTTTGTATTTGTGTTTACTCTTGCCCACCTTTCGCATTCCATCTCTGTGCCTTTGCTGTCCGGAATGCGTTGCGTTGCGATCCAGCTTACCAAACCTGTGCCCTGAACCCTTCTTGTTCTTGTTGTGTTGCACTTCGTCCTTGCCAATCTTGCGTCGACGTCCCCGCTTTCCATGGTGGTTGTGTCTGTGGGGGTGTTCTCCCTGTGGAGCCAAGGCCGTTTCTTCTTCAGCGACGTTTCTGTTGTTGGGCAGAGGACCAGTTGCGTTTTTCGCGAAAGGTCTCGGGGTGGTGGACGGCTGGTAACGATTAGGATCTTGGTGAGAACTGCGCCGTTGACCTTTTTTCCGAGAATGTTTATTCTTCCGATGTGTGGGCACGGTCCTATTGTTGCCTGGAGGAGGGTATCAAGCAAACAGCAAGATTAGAAAAAAAAACAGCATATAATTCTTACCTTTGGTATGTAACCATATTTGAACAAAATACTAATTCAATTAATGAATTATTCAAGTTGTTATCAACATATATGTGGCTCACTGGAAGAAATGCTTAGAAATGTATTGATCAGTGTTTAAACCAAAATAGAACTAGGTATCACTCTCGCATCCTGTTCCCCTCTAAGTATTTTCATATAAAATATCTAGTACCCATTCTAGATTCCCATACAGTTCTATCTAATTATAAGCTAGTGAAAAAGAATGAAAATAATACCGAGATTATACAATCTAAACAACAATAACACTAATTTACGTGGTGTAGTTGTAATAAGCCTGGGTTTCGCTGTTGTATTGGTGAGTACGCTAGGCCTGGGTGAAACAGAATCCGGGACATCTGGCACAGGTGTCTGAGGTACGGAGGAATCTACGACGGGTAGGTCAGTGGAAAGTAAGTCAGCGGTCGGTGAATCAATGGTTAATGAGTCAATTTTAAGTGTGGAAGGTCCTGTAGGTGTTGGGATAGATGGGATTTGGATAGATTTAGAAGTAAGTGGGATCTGAGTCGTGGCAGGAGTAAGGGTAGTTGTGAATGTTGCCTCTGTGGTAGAGACTGAAATGTTTGTGTGTTGGGGAGTTTTTAAGGGAGTTGGGGTTGTGGTGGATACTTGGGTTCTGTTAGAATGTGTAGTGGAGTTGTTGGTTCTGTTCTGCCCAGGACGTCTTCCCTTGTGCTTCTTTGGATGGTTTCTTCCAGCCTGTCTCCTGTTGGATGGGAAAACATTAGTGATCTTAAAGAGGAAATCACATTGCGGCATATATTTCAGGAGACAGCTTGAATGATTTGTGCACTTTACCCCTTGTTTCTGTTCCAGCGCCGGTGTCCTCGCACCGCCTCTCGCTCGAGATCATCTGCCTGCTGCGCCTTTCTTACTTGAGAAGTTTCTTGCTTGCTTCGCTGGCCTCCCTTGCTCGGGTGGCGGGACCGGTGCCTCCAGTCACGTCCTCTCCACTTTCCTTTCTTAAACTTCTTCTTCTGCTTGTGTGTCGACGGGAAACCTCTGCCCGTGACGTTCCTTCCAGCTTTGTTGTCTCTGTTGTGCAATCTTCCGCGATTCTTCTGCCTCCTGTGCTTCTTCATCTGGACGCGTCCGCCATGGAGTTTTGTCCCGTTGACATTCCTTCTGTTGCTTGTGTTGTCTTTCCTTCTGAAAATGGAATTGTTGGGATTTCTCTTCATGTAAGGATTTACCCTTCCTCCTTTACTATTGGAAGGGCTGATGCTTCCACATATGTATCCTCCTGGCCGGTCTCTACAAGCGTGTGGGTGTACTGAAGCCTCGTTACGGGTGGCATGTTTCGTTCCAGCGAGGCCTTGGGACTTGAAATCCCCTCCATGCGCAAACGTTTCATTTCCTCCATCTGCCTCTTCGCTAGACTCGCTGACTGCATCTGATGTGAGGGCAGAGTGGTGAGGCACGTCCGGCGGGGTCGTGGTCGGCCTGGGATGAGGAGGCCCCTTTCTCGGCTTGGACTGCCAGGGCGAGTGGCGTGGTCTTTCTCCTCGAACGTTGGCAGGTCCTTGGTCCAAATCGTTCTTGGCCTTGAGGTTTGGTCTCGCCTGGTCCGGTTTCTTCTTCGGTCTAGGGGGACCTCCTTGCCTGTTGTGCGGAGACGACAGTGTCTGGTTGCCCTTCAGAAGATTCCTGTTCACTGGAGGTCTGCCTCCCTCAGGTCCCTGGTCCACAACCGAGTTGTTCATCCTGAACAGCTTTGGACTACGGGGCTTGTTGAAGGGCTTTTTGACCCTGGGCTTGCCGTGTGGCTTCTGGTCGTAGATATTGGGCTGCCGTTTGCCCTCCGAGATCCTGTTCACGTCGTTCTTCTCGTACTGATCCAGGTCGGGCTTCCTCTGGGGCTTTGGGACCTTGTTCTTGGAGGGCTTCGAGGTCTCGTTCTCCTTGTCGTCCTTCTCCTTGCGACTCGAGGGGACCTTCTTGCCCGGCCTGCGCTTGGGAGTGAGCGTCGGGGGCGTCGCCGTTGTGGTCGTGGTGGTCGTAGAGCGAGGCCCGGCGACGGTCGGGAGGAACGACGGCGCCGTAGTAAGGCCAGTTGAGGGCTTCGCCGTCGTCACGATAAGGTTGACTATCGGCGTCGCAAAGAAGGGGAGAAAGTTGAGTTAATAAGGCTTGAGGGCGTGGCAGGAGGGATGAATGAGGGAGAAAGAGAAATGATGGGAGGGACGGATAAAAGGAAAGAGAGAGAAATGGTGGGAGAGACGGATAGAAGGAGAGAGAGAGAAATGGTGGGAGGGACGGATAGAAGGAGAGAGAGAGAGAAATGGTGGGAGGGACGGATAGAAGGAGAGAGAGAGAGATGGTGGGAGAGACGGATAGGAGAGAGGGAGAGAGAAAAATGGTGGGAGGGACGGATATAATAGGAAATAGAAACAGTGGATGGGACAGAGAGAAAGAGAGCCTGATAGAATGGACGAGACATATAGAGAGAATGAAAGACAGAGATAGACAATCAACCTGATAATTATATGCATGATCATAGAAAGAGATTAAGAGTAAAAGCAGGAATGTGAAAGAGTAATGTACACAACCTATAAAGCAAAAATAATGTAATATAAAGATTAAAAGTACGATTATATAAACAAAAGAAAAGGCAAAATACAAAGGAAAAATGAATATAGTTAACTATTTTAGAATA